TACTTGCTCTGTTGTTGGGTTCGTCGTCACCCGACCGTATCGGGTTGGGTTTGGTTGGGGTTGGGCTGGGGTTGGGTTGCCGCCGTCGATCGCGCCGCCGTCGCCTCGTCGTTCGTCGCCGTTGGGTTGGGTAGGGTTGGGTAGGGTTGGGTAGGGTAGGGTTGGGTCGGTCGGTCGATCGGGCGGCTTCGGGCCGCCTTCGTCGATCGCGCCGCCGTCGCCCCGTCGATCGTCGCCGAAGGTCGCCGTATTTCCCCAGAAAAATAATGTCGAAATCACGGAACCAACGAAGGGCTTCCGTGAATGAGAACAGATTGCCTCCAAAGGGGCTTGGAGAGAGCGCCTACTCGTGACAAGCCTTCCAAACCCTAACGGAGGGGAGAGTACGGTAGGAACACCTTCCCGCCAGCCCAACTGTGATTGGATTTATTTCCGGGGTGGTAGTTGCTCTCTGCGTGACTGCCGCGTTGACGACACGAAGGACGTCATCGCGTCTAAACCCTTGGTGGAATATCCAGACTTTTCGTAGCAGGAGGGCTCATTTTTTCTCAAACTTAGCATCGTCGACAACTATTGCGCAGTATCTTTCTGCCCTATGTGGCATCCACAGAAAAACAGTGACGCGTCCATGATGCCGGGAAGTTTAGGTGTAAGGGCTATCGTTGTTGTAATTGTCGCTGTCGTCGTCACCGTCACCGCCGCCGTCACCGTTGTTGTTGCCGGAAGTCGTAAGTTTCATCCGCGAGAGGTCCTCGTTCGTTTGTGTGCCCGGCGAGTGGCTTCAAGGATTTCCAAGGTATCTACTGCACATCTCCGAGACTAACCCCCAGGATTTCCTCTATGCAACCACGAAGTGGTGCCTACAACCCAGGGAAGAAACAAGGAAATCGAGAGTTTGCGTCGTACTTTGTAGTATTAGATAATAAGCACATGCATGTACTTGGAGATATACACTGGGTGTACGTGGTGTCTCGGCGTTAAAACGGACAGTTAGTTCTGCACGTTTGCCCGTGTTGTTGGCGGTTGGTTAGCCGTTGGACCATGGCAGAATCTTGAAGGGGGGGGGGGGGGGGGGGTACTCATTGTCGTGTATGCCGTACAGTTGGCGCCCGCAGTTAAGAAACGCTTATTTCAGGTCCAGCCTCGAATTCTTATTGTGGGCTATAAACTCAGCGTACGTCGTTCAGTTTCTTATTTCAAGTTTCTTATTTTTTCGTGCAGCCAAATCCTGCTGAATTTCTCAAATCGGCAACTTCTTATTTCTCTGCTTGCATACTACACAACGTTCCAAATATACAAACGATTTGCACTGCTTTCCTCGACCCCCGTACTCAACCCCGATTCCCACTACCGACGGCTGCACGTAAGGCCACTCCCTAGAAGCGAAATGTATCCAGCGGCAACGTCTCGCTATCGCTACAAGGTCCTGTACCCCCCTCATGAGTGAGAGCTGAAACTACACGAATGCATAAACACCGCATGATGCCTCACCCGCACGCTGACGTGCCAACAACGAAAACTACCCCGTCGTTATGTTGCAAGCTCCGTGAGGCGAACATTGGGGGTGGTCACCCTTTTGCGCCTCCCGCTCCCTTCCTTTGGGTCTACCTCTAGGAGAACCCACGCCCCAATTGCGACGTATTCATCCGTGCTGTACGACTCCAACGGCATCTTCATGCTACGCGTGCTTTCGTCGCAGTGCAGGATGACACGGTAGTCGTGCTCCTGCCGCGAAGCGGCGTGAGATCTGCGACATATTACCGCTCGGAACCAACCCAACCCGAGTTTCACGAGAACCCCACGCTTCACTTCACTATGGGAGGGGACGATCGGGGGACAGGGGGAAAGAGCGAGAGAGCTGTGGGGTTTGATTCATATTCGACACACTCCCCCGTAAACCCTCGTTTCTTGTGTAGTAGGGCAGCGGTCGCCGCTGTGGTTCTTGTTGAAACATTTCTTATTGTGTGACCCAGATTGAGCTATGTTTCTTAGCCCTATTTTCTTATTTTTCGTGAAAAAGTGAGCCTCAATTTCTCAACAAAATATTTCTTAACTGCGGGCGCCAACTGTAGTCGTTAGACCGTTGACCTCGCATCCCTACAAAGCCGGGACGGAGCACGCCGGGTCATCACCGGACAAGGCTCTCACATCTCCAAGCGCGAAGTGCCGTGAGGTATTCGGCGAGTCGCCTGAAGGGTGCGCTGCATCCTGCTGAGGGTGTTCGGCACCTTGTGCTTACTCCCTTGCGCGAATGACAGCTGCGTGTGACTCAACTTATTTTCTGGTGCTTCACTTCCAGAGACAGTTGTAAGCACTGTGTAACTGCCTCGAGGGTGCTTGACCAATTTAACACAACGTGGTGCGATTACCCCCCTTGCGCAGAGTGAGGGTTCTCGACCCCGCACAACATCATCTACTCGACCACCATTCATGGTTACCGCAAAAAAAAAAATGCGAAGGCCAAAAAAACAGCGGTTACCTGGTTGCCGAGCTCGCGAAGTGATCGGCTTGTTTTACACCATCGCTGCCAAGCGACGAAAACGCAACCTCGATGGCAAAAACCTGGGGGCGGCGGCGGGGGATCCAAAACCTTGAAATAAATTAATGTCCGCGTGTGTGTGTGTCTTGCTTGCATCGACCGTGCTAAACGGTGACCAATGAAAAGCGCTAGTCTCTGCGGTGGATAACACAAAATGCTTCTATCGTCCACGACCTGGGACCCTGTGACCGAGCGTGATGGGGGAGTCTACGCTACTGTCGGGATTAAACGCAGATGCCGAACACATGTTTACCATGGCTGCTACTACTTCCAAAGTGCGTTCGTTTTGGATTTGGATTGCTTCCATCGTCTTCCCTGCATTAGCTACCGCCACTGTCGTCGCCAACATTCCCACTACTGTTTGGCAGGTCCTGTCCAGTCCTGCGGCATTTGTTGTGAGGAAGGCTATCTGGCTCACACCCTTTGCTCTCTTACACGCCATGTTTTCTTCCTACATCATCGCCTCCATTCCCCTTTCTTTCCTTTCGCCTTCCTTCGTCTCTGTCACACAAAACGTTACCCTCAATACCATCGTTATCGCTTTCACCAGAACAACTCCTTCCTGAAATCGTCCCTTGTTGACCGTGGTGGAAATTGGTCCATCAGTAGTTAATGACGTTTGAAAACCATCACGTGTTCGTACCTACAGAAAACTAGTCAGCTCAAAGGTGACCCGCATCAGAGTTCTGTTGGTGTTGCAAGCCTTCAGGCGAAGCAAGGCCGTTTCATCATCGAAATTCCCCCTGCAAAATGCTTAGTAGGCCAAAAGTGGTCGGCGATTAGCTCAACACGACTATGTGATTGGTGCCTTGGCCAAGACCACCATACGTTGAAATAGCAGCAGAAACAAGGGGAGATCTAGACGGGTTGAAGTTCCCGCATAGTGGTTTGCCTTACTTACAGCTCGATCTTCGAGGGCGGATCCTGGTGATTGAATCGACTTGTCGATGCTTGTACATACTTGCAGATGGGTTGATGCTTGTGACGTCCACAAGAATGGACTTGGTGCAAAGCTTCTCTTCTCTATCTCCTGTGTGAAGTCCTCGGGGGATCACCAAATCCATCTCATAGAGCCCCTTTTCTCTACCAGTACCTGTGGTAAATGGGGAAGAATCCTCAACGGCGAACGGCAGGTGGCACTCGCGTAATGTCTTCAACATCACGCGAAACCATCCTGTTCCTGTAATGAAGGGATGTTGATGCTCCGGTCTTGGTGCAGACGAGGGAGTGGGCCCAGCTCAAACGTTCCTTGCATGGTGACAATGCACGCGCACAGCAAAGTGCCTGTGTCACAGTCAGTTCGATCGTGACTCCCCAGTACACGACAGATTGACCCCCGATATAGGTCAGGCAGGATTCGTTCATATGCTGAATGAAAGCCCTTGCGTTGTCAGCCATGACCCTCTTCCCTTTTGCTTCTTCGAAACGAATGGATGTTTTGTTCCCTGACGGTTCCTTGGATGGTGTCTTCTGCAAGTCTGTCTCCACCATACGACGCACAGCCGAATCATAGCGTGTCGACAGGACGGCTTGAGCTCCAAAGACTTGGTAGTGCTGACCAAAATCGTTTCGACCGCATGTATACGGTGGTTGATGTTCCACGTCAGGGTTGTCACCTTCATCGGTTTTTCCTGCCTTCCCTGCTTCCAAGAGGTAGACTCATTTATGTGTGAGTGTCAAATCATCACATGTGGTCAGTCTGACAAACATGTTTTTCAAGCTTGTCTTTGGTGATGATCTCCTCTAGCTGCTTGAGCGAGTCAATCAGAGCCAATCCCGTCGGTATCTGGGCAAGTCGGGGCAGACATTGCTCGATGGTGAATCAATCCTGTCGGGCTTGTCTGTGTGCTTTTGGTTTGGGTCCATTCGTCCCTCTGAGACAGCCTCGGGTATTGCGGGGCGATTTTCTCTCCCACAACCCTAGAGATGTTTCGCTCTACGTTGTGTGTTCGATGTTATCTCTGCTCTTTCATGTTTGTGGGGTGATTATTTTGTTGTTCCCTTAGCTCCATCATTAGACTTTGTGACCTCCGAGAACGCGCCGGGGGGCGTCCCTTCCACGCGCGTATGCGCCCCCGGGGCGTTCTCAAGAGGATGGTACGCGGCAGTTCGCGATGACCTTGCTTCACACCGCTAATATTGTAACGACCAGCTAATATGCTGCGTGTCACACACAAGGCCGGCGAAAAATATGCGAGGTGAGCCCGGGGAGGAGCTTCCCTTTGGTCATTGAGCCGCCCGTAACCTGATTCTATAGGGTCGACGGACGTTGATGAAATTCATCGACGACCCTACCGATAGGCAACAGTTGTTGTTTTGGTTTGCAGGAGAGGACATGGAAAAAGAAGTTAGGCTATGCTACATACCGGGGACTTGTAGCAAGCGTGGTGTACATATGATATGTACAGTAGGCGAATCGTCACGAGGAAAATATCCAACCGCACATGGAAGACATCTTGTGTAGGGTGTAGAACATTGGGACAAATGGCGTAGACCTTATGGTCGCACGGCGTACTGTAATAAAAATACCGTCATAGCCTATTGTAGAGCTCACCCCCGTATCCCCTCCGCAACAGATTCTGCCAAACTCTGTTGGCCTGCTATGGCCGCAATAGACACTCGCTATTCCACCTACAAGGGAAAAAAAAGTTACTCGTACCCGGTGCATGAAATCCCAGACGCAACGAACCGTTCAGCTGAGCGAAGATACTATTGGCATGATGGGTGAGGGATTCCCACGCAGCAGGCAAGTACTGTAGTTGAGCCGCACACTTCACCACTGAGGTTAAGCGACGCAGCACGATGCATCAGAGAAGAGCCACAACCCCTCCTCCAATTGCCCCGGTGAATGCTCGCGAACCCCAACTACCGGAGCCTACGCCTTGGGCAAAGAGTGATGCTCACGCACAGCCAGCTGTCGAATTGGAGCCTCGGGACTCCACACGTCGGTCCGCGGCCGCCACCCCCCCTATTGCCCTGCTTGCCTCAACACTGAGCTGGGTGCATTTGTACCAGTCCAAGCCGGTTGTAGTTGATTCTGGCTGCCTTCCCTTTTGCCCTGCCACCACGTCATCTTCCACGTCGGGACGGCAAGGAGTGCCCTCGACAGGTGTTCGTGGTTCCGTTGCCGAAGATGAATTGTTCTCTCTTTCGGTCGGTTCCTTGGCGACCACCGCTGCCGCTTCTGCTGCTGCTGCTGCTGCTGCTGCTGCTGCTGTAGCTGACCATTCCGTCAATCCCATCGCTGATATCGTCGTCGAGCCCTGGTCGATGGAATAAACTCCATTTCCCCTTGATGCAAGGTGTTGACCTTCACCGCTACGAGGCGCCTCGCCCTGCCCTTCCCCGCGGCCCCCGACATTGGTGCAGTCAAGACTAGCACTGCCCAACCGTTCAGGGCAAGGTGAATCGCCGTCCTGTCCGACGCGAGCAAACTTGTCGTCTGTGCTGCCTTGGCGGCCTGTTGTGGTGCTGCCACTCCCCCCGCTAAAATCCACCTCCGCTTGCGTGCAGGAAACGGCTGACGGTGCAGGACCGTCGGTCATACGTCCAGCGGACAGTACTAAAGATCCCTCTTTGTCTCTGGAGTACCCTCCTACACTAGTGGTGACGACGACATGGCCTTCTCCTACGGAACCATCATTGCCGCGTCCGCCACCGCCACCAAGATATGGAGATGGCGAACTTGCCCCGGCCATACCGTCAGTTTCCGCCAACTTCCTAGCGCTAGCGCTCTTCTTGAAGTTCTGGTGGTGGAGCCTCCGTTGCCGAAGGTGGTGTTCCTGTGCCACCAAGGTCCGGGACTCTCTATCACCTTTGTTGTAAACGATGGCGGAGTTACTGGCACAACTCTCGCCATCCTTGCAGCTTTCGACGAAGCGAACTCGGCCGTTTCCGCCGGCCCCGCTCCCTCCTGCGCCGCCACCTGCTCGTCTCGGCTCGGGATATCGGGCCGATGGGAAACCCGGCAGCGGAGTGCAAGCTTCTGCGGCGTTGGTTTGGGGGCAGTTGGACTTGGACTGCGAGGGAAGGACGAAGCTGGTGCCCTTGGCGAGGGAGGTTTGGAGAAGCTCGCGACGGCTGCGGGCCTTGTGCAGGACGTTGTTGTCGAGTCTCTCCCGCTCCTGCGGATGGGGCGGCGATGGATCGTGCGGGCGCGGCGTTTGTATGCGTTCGCGTGCCGTCGCCCCGTTTGTGCGGCGTGGTTGTGCCGTGATTGTGTGGCGTGCGGGCATTGTGCGACAAAGAATGAGCACGTTTTCGTTTGATGGCCTACTGCAACGGTTTTCTGAACTCGACGACGCACTCGTCATCCAGTCTAATGCAGACCTGTTCGAAGTCTGTGGCGTCGCTGACCGCCTGGATGAAGAGGTTATTCTCCACTCTGCGACGTTCCAGCTTCGCTTCCAGTTCTTTCAGCTGTTTCAGGGCCCGATGGTCGCCGTTCAATTGGGCAATTTCTCTGGATAGCGCAGCGACAGCATCAGGTGTGCCGTGTTGATTGTTATCCTTTCTTCTTTACTTCTTGTTCTTGTTGCCATGACAAACCAGCCTGAGCCATCGGATTGGTGGTCAGAGGCTATGGCTTCCTTCCTTGAACCCGTCGCTTTAGCTTTCAGGAGACAGAGGAACGCCTTTCAATACGCCCTAAACACACAAGAAAGTGACACTAGTCGTACGAGGGCCTACGTTGCGTTCAGCATAAATGCACAAGAAGAGAGAATATCTAACGCTTCTCGCATTGGCATACAACGCAGTGAAAAGATAGGCAGTACCGTATGGTAGGCATAGACCGCATCGGCCGTGACAAACGGTACGACGAGAAGCAAAACATTTAAACAAGTGCATCACGTACTCGACTGAGTTCAAGCAGTTGAATGGACGCGGGGAAATGCATATTTGGAGTCGAAAGGGTATGCCGCTTCGATTGTGAATTCTGAATATCTGTCGAAACACTTTCTGTGCGCAAGAAAACCTCCCTAAAAGAAGAAAAAAACGCCCCTTGAAACCCCACACAGTTTTTCTCGGCGCGGCTACTGCTGGTCTTCTTTCTTGACGCCCGTTGTATAGGCTTTTCCCAACTGCAAGTTTGTGTTGTAAACTGGAACTTGTCGAGGAAAACCGCACAGCCATTCGCAACCCGCAAACCCTCGCGCGAGTGTTGTTTGGCTTACCCGCAAGGGTAGCATGTGCAGAGCCCATGGGCGTCGGCGCACGCACGCTTACGTCCTTGCGCCTAGCCTCCTTGCGCACAAGGGCCCTTTTCTCGTTGAAACCGACCGCACCTTTTTTCCTCGACATCATCCAGCGCAGAGCTCCTGAACGCGGCTTCGTCGAGGATCTCCTTCATGAGCAATGACCTCCGCTCTATCGCCACCACGGTCTGCATATCGCTACCATGCGCCTAAAGCGTGGGTAGTGTTCGGCCGTCGAGCGAGGGAAAGAGAGGAGGGGAATTGCGGAGACAGCCAATGCAAGACGGTCGTAGCAACGGAGTCGCCCGGAGACACAGTGCTGGTGCGGAAACATAGCTCGCCAGCTGTCGCGGTTAATGCTGCTACCGGCCGCGGGTTGCTGGCTTCGCATTGTAGGTTTTCAAATGAACGCGGGACAGAAGTGTATGGAAGACAAATGTTGTGACACAAGTGTGTCAAAAAAAGGCGTGATCTTGTTGACCTCAGTGCCTTGTGGCGCCGTCCTAACGTCGGCGCCCTGTCTGTCTTGCGTCACACCACGCGAGGGAATCGCTGATTTCGAGACACTATTGTCTTCTAGCGTATACCTTAAAGTGATGCAGGCTGCCGCCTCAAGACCATGGCTACTAGAATGAGGCAAGTTCCTGTGAGTCACGCCTAGTATTCGAGCACTACCGTGGTTGTGCAAATATTGTGGAGCAAGCACCTACCGCCAAAAAAAAAACTCAAAGACATCAGATTTTTTCCCCTGTCAACTCGGGAACTCTCCTCCAGCTGTGATTTGCGGAATACGCAGCATGACAACAGGGAACGTGCAACGATGTACCCCGTCCATCTACCCGACCCTGCTTCTAGCACTCGAACCCGCCTTAGGTCGTATGCGACATGACACAGGACACGTGGAGCCAGCACGTCAGTAGGGCGTGCGAGCGGCGGGCGTCCTTCCTTTCCGCCTACCTTTTTGACATCTTGGAGATGGGTTATCTTATCGATGGCGCTCTTTCCGGCGGTTGCCCCCTTGGGCTGGAGAATGGCCAGGAACTCGTGAAACCCTATCTCCCCCGATCCGTCCTTGTCCACTTGCCGCACCTGGTCGGAACGCGGGACAAATTCGGGGGTGGTGTCAAACCAATCGGTTGACTTTGGAAATTTTTCCACTTCAACGAGACACTCCATCATACCCTTCGGACACCATCACGAGCGTGCGTATCTTGTTCGTGAGCACTCACATACAGGATATGGCAGGCACAGGATGCAACACTACAACTGACGAGAGTAGGGCCCGTACTGCGACAACTGCACAATTGTTATTTTCTCGCGAAAGCGCTCCTTACCTGCGGAGCGAAGTTTTATCCTGCGCAGTGCTTACGGAGGGGGGCACTGTGGTAATTCTAATCGGCAAGGTCGTCTCTAATCGAAAAGACGGACGAGGACCCATTAAAATCTCCGATGCTCCACACACAGCTTTCTTTGTGTCCGAAGGGGGGCACTTTCTGCTGTGAAGTGAGCCCCTCCAAAGCCAGCTTGGAAATGGCATCGACAACTCCCAGCCTACGGGAACACCCGGTCCATTGGCTGAATGGCCAAATAGACTGAGTCCATTGAAAAGTTCTCACCAGCCGTCCTACTTCCAGGGCGCTCCGCGCAAGACCGGTGCAGAGCAGTGGGTGAGACAACTCCGATGAGTCTATCTCTCCTGACCCGTCCTTGTCCAGGCAGTCAAACCTGCAATGAGCGCGAACTGCTCAGAAAAAAAAGTATCGCAGTCTAATCACCCTGCCCTGTGTGCCTTTTGTTGGCCTCTGGCCATCGTATCCCTGAGTCTTTTATGTCTGGATAGGTGTTGGTATACGGTGTGCATATGAGGAATGTCGTTAGCCTATCTTGGAATGATGGTGGTTACCACCAGCAGGACGTAAGATTTCCAATATTTTGGATACAACCGATAGAGAACAGTCTAGCGCCAAATCCAATAGTCATGTTGTCAATAACAAACCAAACCTTCCACTTTCCCTCAAAGCCCGGCGCTGGCGAGACGCTTCGTGAATGAAGTCAGATGTGTGTCCCTGTCGCTGCTACAACGGCGTTGCCACACCCGAGCTTCATCCGCACTAGGCCACCAGATTGTGCACATGTGAATCATGCACACGTTCAATCGGGAATCACGCACGCTGCTGTTGAACCACACTCCGACAGAGCATGCAAACAAAATATTTCTCACCACTCCCGCAGTTCTCTCCTCTGCCCCACCGTGAAGCGGTCAGCCCTCATTAGCGCTCTGCGCTTCATCCACCGTTCCCTCTGGTCCTCGCTCATCTCTTCTCGCAGCAAGGACAGGAAGCGGCGCTTGCCGCCGGCCACTCCCCGCTTCCATTGTTTGCATACGCGAAGATGCAGGTATCCGTGGTGATCAAGCAGTAGAAAAACAAGCAGTAATTCTCGAGATTTTCTTTGTGTTTGATATCATATGGCATATATACATGACTCTGTCGCATTCAGGTTGTTTTCTGCGTCCGAGAAAATCTTCAATTTCTGCTTGTTGAGGCCTCAACTTTTTGTTTTTGGAGGAAAAAGAAAATGTTCGCAGTAGTTGAGAAGCTTATGCACAGTAAAGGCCAGTGCGCGCATCATGTCTTCCAAGAAACACTATGTTGAACATGAATAGATTCGCACAAAAAATAACTGAGTTTGAAGCTCTCAGAGAACAGGAACATCCCACCAACAAACGGGGACAACAGATACCCCCTCAGCTCGTAAGATGCAAGATGTAGCTTGGGACGCGCTTGAAACAAGTAGCACACGCCCGAATGATTACATTCTTCCTCCACCTGTGCATCGAACTGCTCATCTGGGGGGGGGTGCGTGGTTGTTGCGGCGCCATTCCCATCGCTGGTGTTCTTCCCGAAACACGATATTCGAGTCTTGACCTGTAAACCATGTTTTTCTCCGGGCCCACACTGTTGTCCTATGCAAGGTTTTGTGGTGTATGTTTTGTCCGTGGACCAGCAAAACGAGTGAGCTAAGACCCCTGCCAAATATCGTCGCGCCGCACCAACCTCTCGGTCTGACTTGTAACTTTCTCTGAGCCTCTCGAGTTGACGATACCCAGCGTCCAGCTTTTCTGACCGTTGCGCGTGTTCCCTCCACAGCCCCGGTCTGATCATCGCATTTAGGTTAGCACACGCCTCCTCGCGCAGCGCTGACGTGCTCGGGCAGCACCAGATCTTGACAGGGCCCGTGCCCGTGCCCTTTCCCTGTCGGTTACCTCGCCGCTGTTTCCGTGCTTGAGGCGGCCGACCCGCGCCGTTGCCTCGATCATTGCGTGGGCGGGAGCAACGTTCTTGTCCCAACTCCTCGTTGTTAGAGGTTGGAGCAACCAAGCCACGGTAACCTTGTTTCTTTTTCGTTGTCATTCCGCCGCACGAGAATGCCGCATCTGAGACGGCCGTGGAAAGACATTTCAAGTCAGGAAGTTCTCCGGTGCTTCGGCTTCCGACTATCGCCGCCTGGTCCACGACGCTCGCTGGGTTTCGCTGTATGTCAGGGGTTGTCCTTTCAAATCGTCGTCGCTGTCGTCGATGGTATTGAGCCTTGTGCACAGGGAGGAAGGCGATTGTCGGGCTTTTCTTTGCGATTTCGGGGAGACGCCTGGCCGTAGTTTCAGCACATGTCATTTCGAGTGAGAAAACATGCACGGCTGGACATGCGAGGTACGGCTGTGTACGCACACGTACAACAGATACAACCGTTTCCCATCAAGGTTATACAGCGGTTGTTCGTGATGTAGCAGCAGCCAGCGCCAATTTTTTCGTGCTGTACGTGCCGTCTGCAACAGCGATTATGAACGTGAAAAACCGGAACAGGGCACCATGGGGGTAGGGCAAAGAATCGATGTCCGAGCAGAATCAAATGCAAGGTTTGCGGTGGAAAATGTGCCGGTTCGGAGAGAACCACTCGTGGGGGGTGGATGGGTGGACAGTGGACAGCAGACTCGAATAGACAGACAACGGAGCCCCTCTTCCTGGTGAGAGCGGCACTCCACATCACTGACTTGCTGTTCAACTCTTCCTGATGTGTGATAAGCGTAGCATCTAAATCAGTGATATTCGTAAAGATGGATACCGTGGCTCTTCCCCCCGCGGTGGCATCCTCCCCACGTCGGATCCGAGTGGTTTTCAAAGCAGATGCGGGGTGTGTGCCGAGCTCTAACCCCACCCTCACCAAGCGGTGGATATTCATCCCTCCCCGTCTCACCGTCATCGGCGACCTGGCACACCACCTCACGCGGCAGCTCAAGCGGCGGAAGGGCAGGAAGGCGCGTTCTTCTTCCCTCGTGCTCACTCTAGATGGGTTCGTGCTGCCCCCGACCGAAAGCCTGGATGTCCTCCGCGAAACCGACGTCGTGACGCTCACCCTTCGGCAGAGCGACGGACGAGAGCACGGCCGTACAGCCATCTCTGGCAACAGCACCACCACCAACAACAACAACAACACCGGCGCCGGCAAGGCAAAAACGAATCAGAAGGCGAAAGCGCCGAAAAAGAGAGGTGGCAGAGAGGGATCTGTGAGCGGTGTCGGGAATAAGGCGGGAGGCAAGAAACGAGGAGCACCTGCCGTTGGTGCTGCCGCAGGCAGGAAGCGGTCCCGCACTGGCTCTCCCGCCGTGGAGAGTAGCGCCTCGTCGGGAAAGAGGCGGAAGGTCGGGTCTTCCTCCACTGCAGAGAAGGCCAAGAAGGCGGCGAGGAAGAAAACGAAGGGAAAGGCCCCTGATTCGGCTGCGGCTACGCAGGATTCCTGTTCCTCCGATGGCGATTCTTCCTCTTATGGTGAGAGCGCTCTAGCGAAGCGTGGGGGCCGAGCTGCTGCTGTCGCCGCTAACAAAACCGGCGAGCTCGCAGCAGCAACGGTCTACCCTGCGGGCGGAGGGGAGGAGGCAGTGGTAATGTCGTCGACCAAGAAGAAGAAGAAGCAAAAGCTACCGGCGGACATCCCTGCTCGCGGTGCCGAGTCCACCTCCTCGTCTTCGTCCTACGAGTCTTCGTCGTCGTCATCGTCGTCCAGCAGCAGCAGCAGTACGTCATCCTCGTCCTCCAATAGCAGCAGCAGCGGCAGCGAAGAGGAAGAAAGCGACAACGAGGAGGAAGAAGAGAAAGCTGAGGTGAAGAAGACGACAAGCCGCAAGGTGAAGGAGGTACAGTACTTATGTTTCCAGTGGGACGTCTATTTTTCCAAATGGATTCGAATAGTGGAACCACGCTATGTAGGTGATAAGTGAAAATTGTAGGACACCTGATCAAGTGGAGAGCCTTCTGCCGTAGATGCGATGTGTGCAACGGTCCGCTCTGGACGTGATTATCTGCGACAGAAGGGTTCTGCTGAGTGTATTCCAGCTTCTGAAAATATCAAGTAGTCAAATGTCGTGAACCACGTTGGACGTGTGCCGCGCTTTGCAGTAATATGTTGGCCAACTAATCACGCTCTTTGTACCCAGAGTTAATTCTCGTTGTAGCGGTTCCGTCTGTTCACAGAAGGAAAGGGCGCTGCGTCGGCGACCCCCGCATAGTGCGAGGTGAATTTTGTCCTTATGCCACGTCTCACTCGCCGCACACGTCTGGAGATTGGTGTCGTTTCCACCAGATGTTCTGCTGTTTCCAATCTGTAGCCATCTCAACGATGGAGGGTACATGAAGCATGATAACATTTGGATCAACGTTCCGTTTCCAAGTGCTTAGATGGATCGCCAGGTCTCAAGTAATTTTCAGAGTTTTGTCTAGGAAACAATGAAAGAACAAACTAAATTCAAACGCCCTGTTAACGTCGAGTCGCGCATGAGTTCATCTAATCTCGGGATTTACACCCCTTGGTCTCGTTCGTGCTTCCTCTACATGGCATACTATCGGGCAGGTGAAACCCAATGCTGTCGCCGCCGCCGCAGCAGCAGGAGATGGGGACGACAGCAGCAGCAGTAGTAGCAGCAGCAGCAGCAGTAGCCGTAGTGATAGCAGCGACAGCGATGAGTCGTCATCGTCTGACGAGGAGAAGGCAAAGGAGCCAAAAGGTGCAAAAGAAAACGCCAAGGGTAAGCCAACACCGACCCTGTCAGCGGGAGGAACCGGCGGTGGCCGCGGCGACGGAGAGGGCATGCGCGGTGTAGGTAATGCCACCCCCAACTTGGTGCCCTCAGGCAGGGGGGCGGGGGGTAGAGGTAGAGGCGGCGGCGGCGGCCTTGGGGGCGGCCAGCAACACTGGGGAGGACCGCTGGGTCGAATCGTGGGACAACTCAGGAGACCGGAGGGAGAGAGCGAGAGCAACGGTGGCGGTGCTGCAGCCGCAACAGCACCGTTGGAACCGGAAGGCCGTGCTGGTGGTCGTGGGGGTTCCACAGCTGTAGGGGGCGTGTTTGGCCCCGGCAGAGGCATTGGGCGCGGGGGCATGGGGATGACGAGGGGGGGCGGGTTTGCCGGTGGGCGGTACGCGGACAGGAACACCCGACGGCATAGCACCGGCCACACCGCGAACGGTGACGGCGGCAGCGCGAAGAAGAGGGGGCGGGGGGGTTGGAAGAAGGACTATGAGGTGATCGCGTCGGTGGAGAGCAAGGCCGGGGAGGCGGCGGCGGAGGCAGCAGCTGCTGGATCGGTTGAGAACGCCGACGCTCGGTGAGAATAGTAGTAGGGACGTTTGTGTTCTTGTGCTGCGTTGTGCTGCTGTTGTTGTTTCTCGTCCAGGTACGTCATGTTTGTCGACTCACGTGACTGCCTTTGACGAAGCCTGGAACCATTGAAAACATGCGAACCAGCGCAATGTATGGTTGCTCAACCTAGCTTCGTGTGATTTGTTCTGACTCGTCCCCCCTCCCCCGCCCCTCGTTCGCTCATTTTCTGCGCCCAGGTACGTCGGCTATGAAGAGCTCCCCACAGACATGCGTCCGCAAGTGCGCGACGTCCTCGCGTTCAAGACGCTATCCCTCAACGAGGAGACGTGGACACCCGAGCTCTCGCCATACCGGATGGCGGAGGTGAGGTCCACTTGTCGCGGTGGTATGTTTGCCCGTGCTGCCTCGTTGTTTGTATATCTTGGGTTCCCATCCGCTCGATGTCTTGGACTGGTCTGCCTCGCAGAAAGCGTCGAGCTGAAGGTGCTTGCGGTGCTCGGGGGAAAGCGCTCCCAAGACGTCTGGTTGCTGCCACTGCTGTCGCTGTTTCTTGGAAGTGAAGAATTGTCCTTGCGCCTTCTTGGTCTGCTGCTGGGCTGCCCTTTCGCCGTTGCTGATTCCCACTTTTTGTGTACAAGCTACGGTTGGATTCCGACCGAGTGAGAGGATGTTGTTGGTGGTGGTGTTGCGGGTTAGCTTGGGTACATGAGATGTTCGCGCTCGGCCTCTGACATTCCAGACCCGCATCGCCTGTGGTTTCTGAGCAAACGTCTATAGCACTAAATACGAACAGCGCGGCTTGAAAAGTACCGCGAGCTTTGGCAAGGCGACGGGCTTTCAAGTCTGTCTTGTTTTCGTTCGCTCCCAAACCAATCAGGTGTCTTCTCGTAGAATATGAAATATTTCGAATAATTGGTGGTGCATTCCATCGGCCTGCCCGAAGTGGGTTATTGCTATTGGCTCTGGCCGAACTGCTGTATCTGTCGAGAAACGATGGCTATGTTGGGACCGGGGCATGGATGGTTTTCGTCTGGGAAGTTGACGGGCGCCCGGGCAACTTGCGTCAACGGTCCTGAAGCCGGAAATCAGTCGATGAAAACATCGACATGTGCTGGGCAAACGATATACTCAACAGAAAATATATGTTAGATCGAGCGACCGATCACAGGAGCTATCTTTCTAACCTCCACCGCTTGTCCGTCCCCGCTTTTCCCTTCTCACGTCCTTCGCCCCCCCCTATCAAACGGCGGCGGCGGTGTCATATTCCTGTTCAGGTGATCGCCTTCGACGCATCCTCGGGGCTTGTACGATTGCGTCCTGCGTCGACAGAGGATGACAACAAGGATGGCGGAGGTGCCGGTAGCGGTGCTTTCGTGAACGATTGCACGAAGGGCCACACAGTCGGCCAACAGCAACAGGGCAGCAGTAGCATCATTGCTGAGTCCAACACCGAGGAGGGGAGTGTACCGACAAGCAATGGGCACAACGAAGGTGGATTTGGTGGTGACTCCAAGGGCATGGAATACCCAGCGGCGGTAGCAGCTATTACAGGTGGTGGTTCGGATAGCCGGAAGGAAGAAGAGGAGAGCGGCAGTGTTGCGCAACAGCAGGAAGAACCCGCTGCCGCTGGGGTTTCGGCGGAACCAACAACGGATGGAAGAAACAAAGCCAGGAGTACCAGCAGCGGGGAGGTCGGCGGAGCGGAGGAAGACCGGGAGTTGCGCGAAGGCGAGGAAGAGCTCGAGTACAGCTCTCTCGCGAACGTCCGCGTCGTGCGGGGACCCTCGATGGGCGAGCTGAAGAAGCGCAAGCAAGCCCTCCAGAAGTGGAATTCCCTCGGTCCCGGAGGCGGTATTTTAGGGGGATCGGCGGCTGGGAACAACAAAGATAGCAACATTAACAGCAACACAAGTGTTGACAGCGCTGCTGCTTCCCCGGCGTCGCTGCCCTCGGCTACCCCCAAGAAGGCGGGAAGGGGGGGGAAGGGACGGGGTAGGGGAAGAGGAGGTGGAGGCGCTGGTGGTTCTGCTAGAAAGCAGGGCGGGAAGGGTAAAGGGGCGTCGCCGAAGAGCGTCGGGAAGAAGCAGGGGGCAGCACGAGGGACCCTAGCGGTCGCAGGGCTGCTTGGGAAGTGTGCAGGAAAGCTACCGACGGGTGGAGGGCGAGGGGCTGCAGAGGAGGGCACCGCTCCTTCGTCCGCTGTGTAATCTTATTTTTTCATGTACGTTGCACGGCGTTTTTGCAACGTTTTTTGCGCTTGTTTTCGAGCAGCAGCTCCGGAAGGCCTGTGGGTGCGGAGATCTTGTGCTTTTGGTGTCTGGGCCTTGTGAGAAATGACGTGGGGGGTGCGATTTTATGGTTTCGGTGCTGCTATTCTAGGTGTTACGTTTGAGCAACAATATAAACGGGCTCTTGCTGTTGCGCTGGACTGGAGGAAGTTGACGGGCGCGTGCTGTTTGTGTAGCGTCGTCCGCTGCTTTTGCCGACGACCCCTTCGTCATGCGACCGGTGTGATTCTGATTATGGCGCAATGCTTGGTCATGGGATGCTCCTTCGTGTGAAGAAGGCCACCACATGTGCAAGGCAATTTGTACGCACCGCAGCAGTTTGCTCAAACATAACATCCCATGGTATGTATTGATAGTAAAATGTTTCCTCTCTTTCCTGAGTGTTTCCGGCACTACCAATCTATGCATACGCGCATGCGGGAACTAATGGTTTCGGCCTTTGTTTTGTCGTCAGCAATGCACCGTTTGCTCTCCTTGAGCGATGAACACCCACCCATCACCAAGTCTGCATCTTTCAGTTGGGAGGCAGCCGGCTAGTTTCTTACCTGCGAGTGCAGGAGGGAGGAGTGCGAGCGCAGTGTTACAGCGGGAGGTATCGGAGGTCTGTGGGGCGTCGACAATCGCGACAGGACTTGATCTCGTCTGCACTTCTGGTGCCCTTGACGAGGCTGCTGTCAGATGTTCCCAACAGAGCAACTCTTTGTGGCTGCTGGCGATGATGCAGCGCAAGGGCTATCAGACAGTCCGGGCTCTCACAATCACACGATATTTGGATAGGTGGTGCCCTCGGAAGCAAGACGCTCCATTTTTTTCTCAGCGGCTGGGTACGTACCACGTGATGACGCGGACTCTCGTATGCGAGGTTGCTTAGGATGATACCACGCGCCTCATTGCCCGAGCTTCAAAGGTCGATTACCCCACCACCACCACCACAGAGGATTTCAAAGTCAAATGATCCCGTTTCGGAAAGCCTAGACTAAGCCTCGACAAGACGGTTCCAACGCCGCCGTTTCGACATCATTACTACATACAGCAGTATTGCTATGTACGTCAAGTGCACTTCGAAGTACCTTTTGAACAGGTCCAGGGGGTGTGGTATCTTCCGAGACCTACTATGATACGGACGGTATGCACAACCTGCAAAGTGTTCTGATGTGCAGCATGGCGCGCGAGTCGTCGGTGAGCAGGGACCGGTGCTTGAGAAGCCCAACGGGCAGACCACGCAGAGGATGACAGAGGCCTCACTACACATAGTCAGGAGTCCAAGAGAGAAACCATGAATTAGGCATCGTCTACAGTACAACTGTAGACTAGTATGTACATCAACATGCCTTGTGTGGTGTGCAGCGGTGGACTTGCAGCAGAATATTCTACGATACAGCTTCATCACACAAGTGCTTCGAAGACATCGAGCTCTCAATAAGTCTAGATACATGTCGACTGCACGCGCTCCACGTCATCCCTAGCCCAATGCGTCTACGCTTCATAAGGATCGAGTTCCTCCCACTTCTTGATGCAGCAACAATCTGTGCTAATGCGGGTGTGTGGGTGAGTGACATGAGAGATGCCTACCGTATATTTTTTACGTACATGTGTAGTCTAGTGGCTCAAGCTGCGACGGCTGTGTTGAACAAGCGATCAACTAGAGGAAAAAAAAAGAGAGAGGAATAATTGATGCTACTTTTTTTTTTTTGCCTTCCAACAAGTGCAGATGTACCTCAGAAAATTTTCACTTAACTGATCCTCTACATGAATGTTAAACCAATACGAAGTACAACAAGATATATATGTAGGACTTATTTCTACTGTCACTTACATCGTAAAAATATCTCCTCTTCAACTTGAAATAGAACCAATGACAATCCTCATGGTATCCTATATGCGTTCGTAAGCTTGCTAAAATACTACTGCGTTGATGTCCTCTTGTAAAGAAAGGCTGAAATCCAACAAATAAATGCTTTGATCCATGCTACATCTCCGTGTTGGAAAAGCCCTTTCTTCTCCGTTCATGATAACATCTTACTCTACTATTCTACGCAAATCTGTCACATCTACTCTCAAGCGAGAAGAGACCGACCGCGTGACGTGACATGTTGCGGTCGAATTTCAACGACTAATTTTTCTGTTGCCCTCTCCCCCGTTTGCTGTCGCGTTCAGACTGTCTCTANGTTTTCTTGTATTTTATCGCTCTGCTGACCCTTGGGGTCCATTTTATTTTGGTATACCTTTTCTAGGTACGTTAGCCTGTGACCACGGAAATTGGCCGAGTCAAGTGATGGATTAGTACGGAGAGATTGAGACAGAAGGAGGTACTGGATAGAGAGACCGGGATGGTTTTTAATGTGAAGACAACAACAACAACAACTCTCAAACAAGACGCCAACTTCAAACGTAAAATAAATCACAGAAAGATTACACTGCTGTATACCCGTTCAAGCTAGACTATACCCACATTCGAACGGGATGTGGTAGAGTCTTCTCAGTGAGTGGAGGGAAAACGGCTTGGTACTGGACTTGTTTCGAGTCTATTTAAGTCCATAAACTGATCATTTATGTCAGTGAACCAGCTGGTGCTAGTAAGTACAAATACATCTGTAAAGGTAGCCAACATCTTGAAATGCATCCATCCCCTGTTGTTGTTGTTGTTGTTGTCTTCACATTAAAAACCATCCCGGTCTCTCTATCC